TGACGATCAGGTATTTTATCATATAGTTGTTATTTCTTTATATATTTCAGAGGATTGTTTTTAAAAGCAACTTTTCTTTTGGATTTTTACACTTGATCTTATGCGAAATCGATCTTAGGGTCATCGTATCGCCGCAACTGTCATGCCCGATGAAATTCCTCTGCATGGACCTATACTTTAAACAAGGTTACTGGTTTAGGGTTCGTTGATTCGTTGTTAAGAAGGCCATTGGTTTGATTTGCATAACCGTAAACAGGCATCGGTTTATTTTCGGATCTCATACGGCGTGATTCCTATCTCTCCAGTAACCCATAATCTACACTTGCGTCTCAATTGCACACGCTTTCTTGATATCCGTGACTCGCGGATTAGATTTTGGGTTTTTAATTGGTAATATTGGTAATCATCTGTTAGTTTTGTGACAATTTTAGTATAATATATCGTTTTGTTAATATCACTTTTTTTGTATCCGATATAGATGTAATGGGAACCGTGTTGAAGATGGGTGATCTCCGTGAGATCAACAGCGATGCTTATGAGGATAATGCAATATATGTTCGATTCGAACTTCTTGATGCAGGGTAAGATCTATGAGTTTATATTCATATGTCGTTTGTTTATGCAAAAAAAAAAAAAACAATGTATCGTTTTGGTTTTATGACATCTAAACTGGAAGAACCTTTTTTGTTCTATTTTAATCAATTAGGAGAGACTGTGTATTGCCATGTATCGCCCGTGGGAATTTGGCTAAGAATCTGCATAGTGTTTATCAGCGTAATCAAAGTGAATCAATGGTGTTTGTGCTGAGGTTTTGGAAGATGACTAATGGTCAAGGAAGGTTTTTATTCCTTTTTTTAGGATTTTAGAATAGCTAATCTTGCATTCTTCTAATTCTGATTCGTAAAATTAATGATAGGTGTTGATAAGGATTCGGTTGTCCTCTGCTCTTACCCTCGTTGCTCTGATTTCTTGTGTAATCATGTTGATGACGAGATTGACGATTTCAGGGCTAAGTAAGTATTAAATTTATTTTTTCTTTATTGACATATTTTGTTAGTTGATTTTCTATATATTGATCTAACATATCGATTTTTTTTGTAGGCGATACCGCCTTAACTAATGCACCATCTATGGAATGTCAATTCCTTATCTTTCTTTTTAATGTTTGTAAAAATATGATATTATGATACTTATTAAGTGATATCGGTTGTTGTTTTATTTCTGTTTGACTCTATGCATACTGCATTATGTCTTATTGATATTATGAATGTTATGAATGATTATGTCTTATTTATATTATGAATGTTATGAATGATTATGTCTTATTTATATTATGAATGTTATGAATAATATCGTTACATTGTCTTTAGTGTTTAGAATAGATATGTATATCAATGGTTTTGTAGTGTTTTCGTCTTTTTTGGTGATGTATGGTGATTTGAAAAGTTGATTTGTGAACTATAGTCTACTCTAAGTATTCATTGCATTTTTGAAAAAATATCTGACAACTTCTGATAGATTTGAATTGATGGATATCTATAGTTTTTGATATATGTATATCTATAATATTTGGTAAATGTATATCTCCAATATACAATAAACTTATCGAAAACATAAATTTAAAATACTAACTAATATTATGATTTTGTGTAATATATATATATATATATATATATATATATATATTTATATGTTATATATGATAAACTAAAATTTGTTATTTAATGACTGGTGCACTGACCGTGACAGTTATTCTTATTTCGAAAAAAAATTATTTGGTTTTCATATACTGTATTTCCTCAATTTAGTCCTTTATTTTTCTGGTATATTGTTTATTCTGGTGTGTATATATTCAATAAATTGTAAAAAATTTGAACATAAAAGAGCTTCCCCAAAATATAATTTTTTTAGAGAACCTTTTCTAAAAAACGTTTATGGTTTTGTTGGTATTATGACAGCCTAGATAGAATATTTTTGGTCAGTCTTTCATTGATATACGTATAGTCTGATAATACAAAATATTAATATTAATAATTTATTAATAATTTAGTATATTAATATCTGTTAATCGAGTATTGTAAACTACTTATTATTATTATATTTTCGGTAATGATTATCTCTTTACAGAATATATGTCTTATGGGAATCGTTTATCGTTTACATGCGGTTTAGGCATTAATATTATCTATATAATCAAAAATGTTAAAATTGAATATTTATATAATTAAAAATGTTTAAAGTACTAAAACCCTAAATTTGTAACATTATATATATATATATATATGTGTATATGTATTCATGTCCATTAGGTTAATTCATCGTCCTAGGTCTATTGTTTCGTTGCGTCTTTTCTAATGGAGTTTCCAGATTTTTTATTCTTATTTCGTTTAATTTGTAGCCTATTTTTAGTCATCACACAATTCTCAAATCTTTATTTGTTATTCTTCACATTGAGAAACTGAGATGACGACTTTTTCTTAGTATATGAGAGTTTCTTTCTTATTTTTTGTTGATTTCTAATAGACAAAGATTTTCATGGAAGAGGCAAAGTGGAGATTCTACCTTTTCATTTACCTCCCTCAAAGAACGTTTTCTCATCTGACGTAGATTTACCAGTTTCAGAAACAAAAACTAAGTTTTCAGCTTGGATGGTGTGTAACCAGGACTCTCCTAATGCCCGAGAGCTCTTATACTCTGAAATACCAAAAGACTTCGTTTGGGATCGTATACGAAAACTTTGGAAGCCACATATTCGTTCTACGCTAAGTAGGTTTATGGTTGATCGTTGTAGCGTTGATGATGGTGAGCTTTACTACCTGCGTCTTTTGTTGGGTGTCGTGAGAGGACCACGTTCTTATGAAGATATCAGGACTGTTGAAGGTGTTGTTTATCCTACATTCAAAGATGCATGCAAAGAATTGTCTTTGATTTGATGAAATTCGTCAAGCTTTTTTTTTCATAAGAAGTTTGTGTTTTAAGCACTGATCCATTTATATCGTGGAATAGTTTATTGTTTTTTTTTTAGTTGTAACTTTCTGAAATTATTAATATGAATCATATTTATTATATGACTAAGCTAACGAGTTTTATTTATCATATGAACAATATAAGCTAATAAGTTAAGAAAAGGAAACAATGTATATATAAATTGTTTAATATGATAAAATAAACTAAAGAATATGTTAAACCGTTGACAACTCTTTGATGCTTTACAAATATATATTCTCATATTTAATACTTTTACACATTACCAAACGTTTTTTTTTGGTATTATAATCGAGAAAAGAAAAAATATAATGCATCACCTTACGATCGATCTTAATAGAAAATATTGAGAATTGGAAAATATGGAGTTTTATAGGATGTATCAAAAACTGTTCGGCAAATGGAAAAAAAATCTTATTTTAGAAAATATTTAGGATTAGCACAGATTCTGAATCATTAGTCTATAAATATTTTCGGTTATACGGAAATATAAAAAAAAAATCTTAGTTAGTTAACATAAATATATATTATATAATATAATGATATATATGTATATATATTTATATATATATATACTTTGATAAACAATTTTTGTGTACTTCTGTTATCAAAAATCAGAATAAAGCGCAAAGCTAGGTCTGATGATGCTGACTTCCTGGTTTATTCATCTGTATCCAAAAAAGTGAGTTATGGTCGATGTCACGTGTTTATTGTTATGGAAAAATATCTAAAATTGTAATTATTTAATTAACGTAGATTGGAGTGCAAGAAACGAAAGATATGCCCCAACCAAAGCTGGGGATAGTTACCAAACTGGTCGAGGATTTGGTCAATTCTACGTTGATGAGAGAGATTTATCATTGGAAGGTTGTCGTGCTGCGAGGAAGAGAAGAAAGATTATTATGAGAGATAAGAAAGCCTTAAAACAAGATATTGGTTTGATTTATAATTTGTTCTGAATTATATATTTTGTTTTATCAAATTAATTATCAACAAATTAATAGTTGTATTAAACTTTTATTATCTATGATCTTCTGTGTAGATTCCTTGCTTGATTCTTACAATGGTGCCGAGTTTGCTTGCTTTATAGCTACTGATTCTGATTCTGAAAGAGAAAACGGTGAAGATAGCGAGTCAGAAGAACAACTGGCCGATATTGTCGTGCCACAAAAAGAGAATACCGATGTTTTTCCTGTTAATAAAAAAAGTTCTACGTCGAGGAAAGGAAAAAGGGCAACCAATAATGATGTTGTTACCGCAGATGAACCACTTGTTCGGACCGACATAGTCTCAATTGTAAAACCGGGATTAGATGTTAAGGGTATTATTTAAGATTTATTAATTAACGTTTTATATTGGTTTTTGTAATTTAATTCTTAAATTTTTTATTATTACATAATAAAATCTTTTTTTTTAGGTTATTATGATGACGGTGATCCTATTTATATATGTGAGTTTTGCAAAGCTTATATGTGGTATGGAGAAAGGTTGGCAAAAAGGGCTACACGAGCTAAACCCAAGTTTTCAACATGCTGCATGCAAGGCAAAGTTGTTCTCCCTTGATTAGGGCTCCACCACAATCTCTATTATCGTATTTATACAATGTTGGTGATGAAAGGTCTCATTTTCGTTACCATATCCGTGCATATAACATGATGTTTTCTTTTACTTCGCTTGGAGGAAAAGTTAACAACTCAATCAACGATGGAAAAGGGCCATATGTTTTCCAGCTATGTGGTGAGAACTATCACTCAATAGGTGATATGATACCGGCTCCTGGTGCAAATCCAGCATTCCTGCAGCTTTACATACATGACACCGCAAATGAAACATCCAACAGAATATCTGCATATGGGTAAGAAAAATTATGTTTGTTTTTTTTACTGCTGTTTTTTGGTTTTTAAGATATAAAAATTTCTAACGAATTGTTATTTTGATTTGTTTGTTTTTGGTGATAAAGGACGGTTGGTTCCACTTCAGCATTAAGAGAATCGGTTGTTCAAACACTTTAAAAAATGTTGGATAGACATAATCGTCATGTCAAAGCTTTCAGGACGGTACGAGATAAGTTTGGAAGTCTTGGGGATACCAGTGGTTTACGGTTAAAACTAGAATATGATAGAACATCAGATGGACGTACTACTAATTTTCCAACTGCAAAAGAAGTTGCTGCGTTGGTACCTAATGATTTCGATGTTGGAATCGAAACACGAGATATAGTTATTGAAAGTAGGTCCGGAAGATTGAAGAGAATCAGTGAATTGCATCCTGCTTATTTGCCTTTACAATATCCATTGTTGTTTCCATATGGTGAAGATGGATTTAGACTCGGTATAGATATTGGATATGTAGATAAGAAGGGGAGGAAACGTTTGAAGATTACTATGAGAGAGTTCTTTGCATTTAGGGTTCAAGAGAGGTTTGGAGAATCTTCAACAATTGTAATGTCCAGAAGATTGTACCAGCAGTTTTTGGTTGACGCGTTCACGATGATCGAGACGAATAGACTTCGCTTCATATCAATGAATCAACAGAAACTTTGATCCGAGACTTTCGATAATATAAAGGATGCCGCTGATAAAGGAAATTCTGATCTTTCTGAGAAAGGTAGAAGCAGAAGAAAGACCAGACATATGCGCTCGAATATTCAAAATGAAACTTGATGATCTCATGTACGAGCTAACTAAAAAAAATGTCTTGGGAGTTGTAAATGCTGGTACGCTCTATTTAAATGTAAATCTATATTGATTATATTTGCATATGATTTTTGATAACTAATTTATTTTTATGTTTTTACGTTTTTTATGACAGCAATATATACAATAGAGTTCTAGAAGAGAGGACTTCCTCATGCTCATATCGTTTTTTTTTTGAGGCCCGAAGACAAACTACCAACTGGTGATGATATCGACAAGTTTATATGTGCTGAGATTCCTGATAAGGAAACTGATCCTCATCTATATGAAATTATTGGTGATGTGATGATGCACGGACCATGTGGTGCTTTGGATAGGGATAGTGTTTGTCTGGCTGATGGTAGATGTACCAAATTTTTTCCAAAGGCATTTAGTCCTGTTACTAAAGTTGATGATGTTGGATACCCGATATACAAGAGACGTGAAGACAAGAGATTTGTAACGAGGAAAGGATTCAATTGTGACAATGGTTATGTGGTTCTGTATAACAGAGAACTTTCTATTCGATATCGAGCTCATATTAATATGGAATGGTGTATACAATCGCATTCTGTCAAGTATCTTTTTAAATATATTCATAAATGAGCTGATTATGTTCGCGCAATAATAGGCAAAGATGACGAAGATGATGAAGTTAAGAAGCATTTCAACTGTAGGTATGTTTCTTGCAATTTTCATTATTTATCTTATCAATGAAGTCTTCAAGACCATCATTGATATTTACTGTATGTTATGTTTAGGTATATATCACCTGGCGAGTCTATATGGAGGATCGAGGGTTACGATACACATAGTCGTACAGTTTCTGTGACAAAACTCCCGTTTCATCTGCCGAATCAGCAATTAATTATATACAATGAAGATGATCCTGCTGAAGAAGTGGTTGAACGTGTTACCGTTGGTATGTCCAAATTCATGGCTTAGATGGAATGTAATAAAGAGTATGAAGAAGGTAGGTCTCTAACTTACGTAGAGTTTCCACATAAATTTGTTTTTGATACAAAGTTAAGGAAATGGAAACCAAGGAAGAAAGGGAAAACTATTGGTAGGATCACCTATGTTCCTATGTCTGTAGGAGAGGCTTATTATTTGAGGCTCTTGCTCAATATAGTTATAGGTCCAACGTGTTTCGAAGATATAAAAACAGTTAAAGGGCATCATTATGATATATTTAAAGAAGTTTGCTTTGTCCTTGGATTACTCGATGACGACAAAGAATACATTGAGGCTATAAAAGATGCAAGTTTATGGGTTAGTGCAATAACTATGCGTAGGTTGTTTGTAATTATGCTGACTACAAGAAGTGGTTCGATGCCTTCGAGAGTTTGGGATGCTACTTGGGATATTTTATCCGAAGACGTGTTATATACCAAAGAAAAATTCAAAAAAAAACCAGGTCAGTTTTTTAATCAATACTAAAATAATTATTTGTTTAACTATTTCACGTGATATGCTATATATTCATATTTATGTTTGGGTTACTGATTTGCAGATCTTAGGCTGTCTACTGATCAGGTTAAAAACTTTTGCTTAGCTGAGATAGAGATGCTTCTGCGTACTGCTGGAAGTTCTCTTACAGATTTTTCATGTATGCCGTATCCAGATGATTTGGATATGACTATACGCGGTAATCCTCTTATTCTTGATGAAAGAAGTTATGATCGAGATTATTTGCGAGTTAGACATGATGAGTTGTTTGCCACGATAACTGATGAACAACGACTTATCTATGATGAGATTCTAGAAACTGTTTATTCAGGCTCTGGCGGAAGGTTTTTTGTTTATGGTTCTGGTGGTACCGGAAAAACGTATCTGTGGAGCTAATTAGGAGCCGCGTTACGTTCAAAAGGTGATATTGTTCTGAATGTTGCATCAAGTGGAATTACTGCTTTGTTATTGCAAGGATGTCGAACGGCCCATTCGAGATTTGCAATTCCAATTGTTGTTAATCGTTTTACGACGTGTGCAATCAAATCTCAATCAAACCTTGCAGAACTGATTGATGCATCTAAACTGATAATATGGGATGAAGCATTAATGATGAGTAGGGATAGTTACGAGACATTGGATAGAACCTTGAGAGATATATTAAAATGTGACAAGCCTTTTGGTGGTAACGTTATCGTTTTTGGTGGAGATTTCAGGCAAATTTTGCCTGTTATTCCAAACGCAGGCAAAACAGAGATTCTTATGGCTACTTTAAATTCATCTCCCCTTTGGTTTGGATGTAAAGTGTTGAGGCTTACACGTAACATGCGACTAATCCCTGGAGACAACAGTCGTGAGATGTGTGAGCTAGCATCTTTTACAAGGTGGATTATTGATATTGGAGAAGAAAAAATAAATCCGAGTGATAACAGGGAAAGCGAGATCGATATTCCGAGTGAAGTATTGATTAATGATTGTGAGAATCCGATTAAAGCTATTGTTGATGAAGTTTATGGACAGGATTTTCACACCAAGACTGATCCTAAGTTCTTTCAGGATAGGGCTATTTTGAGTCCAAGGAATGATGATGTTGGGCTTATAAATGATTACATGTTATCACAATTAAAAGGTATACTTAAATAGTTAATTTTTAAAATGTTTTATTATTTTTGTCTTTATTAAGGTTTTAGATATTTTTTATTTGTAATGCTGATTATCGTTTTGCATATAACAGGTGAGGAACGAACCTATCTAAGTTGTGATAGTATTGATCCCTCTGATAGAGAAATTGATACGGATGATGCATCTGAAATTCCCTCTCAGAGTGTTCGCTCAGACCGCAAAAACGATCCGGGTAATATGATATATACAGAAGAGTTTCTAAACAGTGTCAAAATTTCTGGTTTACCCAACCATTGTTTGCGTTTAAGAGCCGGTACTCCTGTTATGTTGCTGAGGAATATTAATCCTAGGAATGGTTTGTGTAATGAAACTAGGTTACTTATTACTCAGATGGCCAATTATGTCCTAAAGGCTATAATAATAACTGGTGACAAAATAGGAGAGAAAGTTCTTATTCCTAGGATATTTTTATCTCCGACAGAGACTAAATTTCCTTTCAGAATGAGGCGCAAACAGTTTCCAATTACCCTTGCTTTTGCGATGACGATAAACAAGAGTCAGGGTCAGACACTTGCTAAAGTTGGATTGTATCTGCCTAAACCAGTCTTTACACATGGTCAACTGTATGTTGCTGTTTCGCGGGTAACATCCAAATCAGGACTAAAAATCTTAATCACGGACAAAGACAAAAAGCCTCAAACGAAGACATTAAATGTTGTATACAAGGATGTCTTTGATAATATTTAGTCGGTTTGTTGTTTTTGTGGCATTGCTTTTCTCTGTTCTATTGTTGTTTTAAAACTCGATCAGTATTTATTTGATTCTTGCTTAACAAAAAGAAAAATTTATCATCTATAAGTTATATTTTAAGGTTGGATTAGATAGATACAAAAATAATTCACTATTTATTTACTGATTCACTTTTTATTTAATGAATTTATTGATTTTATATATATCATAATAATCATATAATAATATCATCAAATAATATATCATCAAATATCATAAAGGAGAGAAGTCAAAAATATTACATAAATATGGCAATTCAAAGTTTTTTTAAGTGCTAACCATAAAATAAAATATAGTAGCAAGAAAATTTCAAAGAAAATATAGTTCACCATCAACTATATTCTCAACTTTCTCTTCCTCTTCCCATTCTTCACCTTCTTCTCTGACTACAAGACGAAACATATAAAAATAACGGTTATATCAAGTAATTTCCTAAAAGTTCTCTATAATTTAATGAAATATTTAACTGATTACCCATTCCGCTGTATCCATATGCCTGATCTCTCTCTCAACGAATCCACAATTTATGCATGTTAAACCTATTTCGAGATCTAGCCACAGTTCATGTTTCCCTTTTTTACAGCGCGATTTTGGAGATTCATCAGTTGATATCTCATTATCAGTCTACAGAGAGATATTACAAACAAAAACAATGGTTATACAGTATAAAATCATGGATCTCTAATCGAAAATATATTATTAATTAAATATGAATGAAAGTATAACTTACTTCTTTGATAGTCGGTGTGACTTATTCAGTTGGTTTGCTTTGCGATTCCATTTCTTCCCAAATCATATTTAGTTCGATCTCCCAATCAGATGGCATAGGTGGTGACTTAGGTTCATCCTCACCGAAACGCATTCTCAATGGTGCTGGTGTGATTATGAGAAGTCCATTTTCATCGTATTTCTTTTGTTCTTTGTTCTCCATTTTTTTTTGTTTGTTTGTTTGGTTTGCTAATAAAGAATGGTAAAAGCAGAGACGTTTTGAAGACCTTTGGGTTTGTAATATATTCAGTTTTCTCAAGTTTCAATGTTTTTGGGGAAAATACTATTTAGTGTTTACACAACGACTTTGAGTCTTTGACTTTAACTGATATCTCATTATATAATTTAATGCAATCAAAACTACAAACAATACTTTATCGTGATATATATTATAACACAGAAAATCTGAATTACAAAAACAATAGATAAAAAAAATATATATATATTGTAATTTGCTTTCTAAATAAAACTTTATTCTATCATAGATAATCCCACTTCAGTATTTTTGTATAAGTTACAGACCATGTTCATAAAGTAAAAGTTATTCACTATTCTCATAAAGTATGATAGACTTCTACTTATTATTACATTTTCCAAGAAGATATTGATACTTACAAAAATAACAATTTATATTATTTTATGAGAAATATCAAAATAGACTCCTTATTACGTACATAAATTAGTGGTTTAGGATAATTATCCCGTAGAAGTTTTCATTTCAATTGATTTTATTCCTTTTCCTTTTGGGGTTAAATCTTAAGACAAATTAGTTAAGCAAGTTTTGAAATTTAATTTATGACGTAGTGTAAAATTTACATTTAGTTTGGATTGTGATGTGTTTTTGAAGATATTTACAAATATTTAATGAGTAATATTTGGAATATTTATATTTTTCGAATATACTTTTTATGTTGATTTATGCACATATATATATATATATATATATATATATATATATATATATGTGTGTACTTTGTTCACGGTCTTCAAGAAAGATTAACATTGAGTGATGGCAAATTATGATTTTGTTCGAACACTGAGCTCACGGAGATCTGATTGGAAAATTGTGGTAAAAATATTGAAAAAATGGAAGGTGGATTGTTCGTGTAGCAAGAAAAGCTTAAATTTGATCGTTGTCGACGAACAGGTATTTTAATTATGTTTCGTGATATTTATATATATATATATATATATACATGTATTATTATTATTCTGATTACGATATTTTGATTTGTTTGTATATTGATGTAGGGTTCTAGAATACATATTCGGGCAAATAACCAAATGATGGACTATTTCGATCAGAATTGTATAGAAGAACAATGGATCATGTTATCTGGATTTCTTTTGAATCCTTATAATTGGAGAACTGTCGTAAATATTACGAAACATGATTATGTTATTACTTTAACGAAAAATACTATCATTTTACCGGTTCTACCGGTAACAAACAATCATTCCATAATTTTATCTCTTTCTTATCAATTTATGAGTACCCAAGTGAGCATTATTATTTGATGGGTGAGTTTGATTTTAATTTCGAAATATAAAAGAAAATTAATTGTTTTAATTCATCGTTTTGATTTAGTTTAATTGTAAACTCAGATCTGATAGGATTTGTCGAAGATGCTAGGTGCTTTACTATGACGTATCTAGATGGTACGACGAGGGCATCAATTCGGTTTCGTATCATAGACGATGAGTAAGTCAATTTACCTATATTTTCTATATTTAATTAGTTCTTAATAAATTTGTTTGTCAAAACATAGGGATGTAATGCTTGAGTGTATTGCGCATGGTGCGTTAGCATCTGAGATAAATGAAAAGTGTGTGAACTCTAAAGGATCTTTTGCTATTTGTGTTTTAACGGATTGGTGCGTCATAATTAATGGGGGTATGTGTTCTGATGCTACGATTTTTTTGTTTTATAATTAATGTTTTATAAACTAAAATGAATTAAATTATGTACGTTTTTAGATAACGTGATTATCCAAGATCATGAAGAACATGGTTTATCCCGTTTTGACGTTGTTCCAGAAATCAATCAAGTATCCATTTTAAAATCCAAGTAAGTAGTTTTATTGATAATATTTATATTTGAATTAAAGGAACAACAATATTTCAGGATAATAAATAAGTAGGTTGATTGATACCTTTAAAATCAATATTTCAGGATTTGGAACAAGATCAATTAAGGATTTGGAACAGGTTGAATTATTTGGATGCAGCTGCTATCTTATTGCCCTAATCTACTAAATTGATTAGTAATTAATAATGTTTTCAATATCACTCATACTATTAATGTGTTATCTTAATATTTTCTAATTTTATTACGTATAATAATTCTTTCATCTAATTAAAGGGTTTTAAAATTCAGAATAATGAGAAAAAAGTCAAACAGAAGTGTCAAACAAAATAAAGGAAAACATATAATGAAATTGATAGATTCAATGGCTAGGAAAAATATGTGAGTGATCAAAAAAGTAGCCATCTTCAATGTTGTTAAAATCATCTGTGTAGTCAAGCCTGCAAGAACAAGATAAATAATGAGTCGAATATTCAACAATTTTGTTTAGGAAATTTACAAAATGATAACGGTGAACAATGCTTACATAAAATGAGAATTTTCGACTTCAGGAATTGGAGGATCGAACAATATTTCAGAGAATTCTCGACCGAACAAACACATATTTCATCTGTACAATATGGAAAATTATATTAGCTACAATTGATATAAATTGATATATGGTTGGTCGATAGAATGAGAAATAACCTCCATATCGACACATCTCCCAAAATCTCAATACACAGAAAACGATTTTGCGACGAGGAGTGTTTTTCCATAAGGATTCAAAGTGTTCAGCATCTCTTCCCCACGCTATGCAATTGATGTCGACACCCCTAAAAACCAGAATTAATATATCATTTTCCTTAATGTCGAGAATATGATAGTAAATATTTATATATGTATTAGTCTTTGTATCAATGGATTCTACTCGAAATCTCTAATTGTAAATTTTAGAACACTTAAGTTGATTCTCTGATTTCCGATCCAAAATTGGTCTTGACGTTCCAATTGACAAACTTTGATAATACCTCCGATCAAATCAACTAGCATAAAACAATATATTCATATAGTTAAGTAGAGTATTAATTAATCTAATTGAGTATAGTAAAATACTAAGAAAACATACCAACGTCTATGTTTTCCATCAGAGATTCGTCAAGGACTCTTCTAAAATTAGAAAATGAATACAACTGGTCATCTGATTTAGGTGATGTCTTCTCAACATGAGTATCCTCATCGATACAGATATGGAGACCATTGACTATAATCCTCGAAGTTCCTGTGTGTGAAGTAATTTTGAAGTTACCAATGAAGTATCAATCTTTATCACACATCATGCCTTCATAACGGTCTACTAAACGATTCGGAATCGATGCACGTATTCGATCACCCAAAATTTTAAGTTAAAAAATAATGATGGTATTGATAATATATTAAGATTCAGACATTATGTTATTTTTGAAGTTATACTTACATGTTCGTCTGCAAATATAAACGATCGCTAAATACCGTGAACACCTGGACTTTTCTCGACACTCTTGATAATTTGAACACAGATAGAACATCGATCAGATGCTATACCTAAATCAGAAATCATCGTGCAAGGAGACATTTTTTTCAAAAATAGATGCAATTATTCTCAACAATGAATAAAAATAAACGTAGTTAGATTATGAGTAACAAATGGGTACTACTTTAAAGTGAAAACCACCGCTACGACAACCAATAGTAGTTTTTGCAATGTTTTGAAAAATAACGGTCATGTTTACCACCGCTAATTTAGTTGAATATATATGTCATGTTTTGTTATAATACAATAATTATGAAAATTAATAATAGAAAGCCTATAAAAATTCAATACAGTCATAAATAAAACATCACCATCAAGAGTCTCTATTTATGTTAAACTTCTATTAAGGTTTAATATATATCGAGAAATTTTCAAATATATATGATGAATTATATATCATTCAATTTTTAGGAGTTATCTTAGAATTTCTTTTAAATTTGCAGAAACATTCTCTCGTTCAATGTGTATATATAAGTACATAAATTATGCATAATCTCAGATATAAAATTATATTATACAACTTCTTAAATATATAAAGCCCGCGCTTAGTCA